TCTTGTCTTTGGGAAAAAAAAATCGATCTGCACAGCCATTCCTTTAACAGGTATTTTGCTATGTACCTTCTATTTTCCGGGTCCCTGTATCAAAGAGAAATAAATTGTGTGTTTCTTCGGATGCACTACGGTGAAGAAGTATTTGATAATATTTGGCTAAACTGAATATCAAAAGCTTATGCATTCTTCTGTATAAAGAAAGGTTAATGTTTCTCTGGAAGGGCACATATGTGGCTGAAAGAGGATGTTAATAGCAATCCTTTGGGGGATTCCAGGTCTTCCCCGTGTCTTCTTCAAGCACAGTCAGAACATCTTCATATCCTCGGATGAGAGATTCAATTTCAAAGTAGTGCTGATTAACATAAACTGTAGCAACATCTTCCTGACTGGACAGGAGATGTTACGTGTCATTCATCAAGCAAAACCATCTACGTAAGCCATTTTATCACTTCTTCCCCTTCATTCCTTCATCTTAGCAGCTATGCTTTGCACTCCTGCTCATGCTCTTTGTCTTCCTCTCCCTCTTGCACCTTGTCCCCCTTCTTCCCCCCCATCTCTACCCATACCCACTCCAGCCCCCTGCTTTCCCTGCCTCCTCCTCTCTCTCCTTTCTGGAGTTCTGCAGCCGTGTCTTGGGATTCCCTTGGTGACGGGGCACAGTGTTCCTCACCGTGCTATTCTGTACAGCCTCCTTGGTCCCGTCACTCACCCCACTCAGCACAACAAGCACCTTTCTTATATCCCAACAGCCTCAGAAGGCAGAAAAAGGATTTTCCTGGTAGTGGATATTGTTCTTTCCCTTCTTGTTTTTTCTTGTCACAGCTCTTTTCATCCCCACCATGAAAAAAAAAATTATATGGATAAATCCACAACCCTATGATTTGCTTTTTAGAAGGCAGCGGCATAATTTTATTTTTTTAAAGACTTATTCATTTATACTGGAACTGGGGTACAGGCCAGAGGCACGGGAGGGCGAGAGAATTCACCAGAGGCAGAGGGGGGAGCAGAACAAGCAGACGACCAAAAACATTGCTGAGGGGAGTGGTGGCCAAGACAGAAGAGGTCTGCCAAGCCATGTGGGACTCTCCCTGTTCGGCCGGGAATCGAACCCACGTTGCAGAGGCTGTGGACAGCTTCACAGTGCTGAGCTCAACCTGCTGCGCCACCAGGGAGGCCGGCAGCATAATTTTAAACACAATAGTCAAATGGAAGAGTAAGTTGGAAACTCTCAGTACCCTTTTGCTGGTTCAGTTATCACATGTTAATGAGATGGCCATTTTGAAAATGTGATAGATCTACAAAAATTCTAGATTGGCATTCTTTAATGCTCACCCTCCAGAATGTAAGGGGGTTTGCTCTCCCAATAAATGACAAGTTAATATTTTTGTTAATGAAGTATCAACCTGGGAAGGGAGCACCGATTGCAAAACTACATTTTTGAAAACTACAATGCTTGAAAATACCTGTCTTCTATTGAGTGCAATGGCAACAGTTCAAATTTTCCATTCTAAAGTAATCTTTACAATTTCTGAAATAGTGCAAAAACTATAGTGCATTCAGCTTCTATGTTAACTTGTACTAAATTGAACACAGTAATCTAATACAACAAAGATATTTTTATTTCCCTAAAGACGTGCCTTTCTCATTTCCTAAGACATGTTTTGGGATTTAACAAACTTCTGGCATGGATAGAAACAAGATGGTTTCATTGTACTGTAAAGTGGAAAAAAAAAAAAACACACCAAAAAACTGTAAATAACTCTAAACCAAGCTGTGTGGTATTTTTTTTTTTTTCACAGCTGGAATACTAGTTTTTATTACAGCTCAACTGGCATTGCAAATTAAAATTCATCTCTGTTTGTTAAACTGCTACTTAAAATGGCTTCCACCAACTGTTACAGTTGAATATTATGTTGTCATTTATGCATTTAGTGGGAATGGTTCAATAGCATGAATATTTAAAAACAAGTACAGAGAAAGTATTTTTCCCCCCATTGGTTTTCAATAGTTTACTAACTGAATTATGTTTCAAGTTCTTGGTCAAACTTGGCTTAATTCTCACTGATGATAAGGCAGTTGTCAACTGAATTAATTAAATAGACTTTATAGGTACATTATAGCTGTAGTTCCTGGTTATAGTCAAACAATTCTGCTTTGTTATTACTTCTCTATTACATTACAATGAAGATTTGCCACTTACAGAAACCAAGAGGCTTTTCAGTGACAATTCAACCGCCACACACAATAAGTGACATATTGTTAACAAAAAAGGGCCCTTTCATTTTCCTTTGCACGCTTTACCTTTATTTTTATTGAGCACAAAAGCCTGCAGACTATTTTGAATGAATTGCTATCTGGCATTTGATTGTTCACTACGCTAAGGTACTGTGCATTTATGACCATCTTTATTATATGTATTAATGGAATGAAGTAAATACAAGTGTTCAGTGTTATAATTTATCTCTCTACCAAGTAATCGTATTAGTCTTTCCTTTAATATTGATAATCCTAATTACCTCCTGTGGGAAAACTTTACTGACACCTCAGACAGAATTATTCACACTCTCATCTGAGTTACTCTGTGTCTCTTGAATAATATTGTTTTCATTCTTGCTACAATGTTTTTTTTTTATTTTTTTTTCTTTATATGTCCAACAAAAATGCAGATCACAGAATATAATCTACTTCTGATTAGACCCAGAGTGTTTGGCACAGCTTTCAGCCTGTATTGGGGTGAAAAACTTTTTCCTTTTTTATTCCACATTCTTTGGTTGGACAATTAACTTGGCATAAGACAGATTAACTGGAGAAAAAAAATAAATTCTTGCTTACGGGGGACCCCAAAAATACAAAATTCACAGGAGTGAGGCAATTAAGACTTCCATACCTTCTGAGGTAAGGAGGAGGGGGTAGGGATCTTGGGGATCATAGGGGGAGGAAGACACATCACAGGAACTGAAATTGTTTTCCCTGCTATACAGATAAGTTTTCTGATACACAGAGTTTTACCTGGTAATCCCTCTCTTCCTGATACAGTTCCTTATCTCACAATTCTTTCAGGAATTGTAAAACTAACCAACTAACAAACGAAGTCTTTCCTGAATCTACTGGGTCTTAATTATTTTTAACACAAAACAATCCACATTCCCAAATGGCATATTTTCGTAATGTAATTTACTGCTCCTTGGTCCCCATCACTACTAAAATATTGAAGTAGTATTTTTATAACTTGTCAGAACCATAAGGAAAATTGGCAAATAGAAAGCTGAATTTTATCTAAAACATTCTGTTCTTACCTAATCTTGAATTCACGATTTACTTATTTTATCACATTCACCACTTAAACAACCTCTGTTATTTTCTAAGAAAATGAATACCATAGATGATGACTTATTTAGAAGTAAAGGTAACTTTATGTTCATTTTTTGGTAATTTTCACACATTAACTTCAAATGAAAAGAAAATAATAGCTTATTACAAACCCTAAATTGAGAAGAATGAACTCTGGTTCAAAGACATAGGGTCACAATCTTGCTTCAGAAAATAAAAATGTGGTTACAATTAACTAGTGTTTTTGCAGGGTCATCAAAATTGCAATTCATCTATTTTATAGAACAAAGAATTTTGGCCTCATTATGTAGATTGTTTCTTACAGGATCAGATTCTTTATAAGCATTTAAAACTGAGACGGGTACAATATATGTCTAATTTATAACCCATTCGTTTTCAAGTGTTTTATCCTAGGACACACACACACACACACACACACACACACACACACACACACACGGTAAGAAAGAAGGAGAAATCTTTCTGATAGTTTTATAGCCACCAGTAAGAAAAATGTTAACCTTTTCTTATTTAATATCTTGCTAGAACAACATTTTTACCCGACATTTATCCTCTTAGCTATCTTAATCATATTGTATTTTGAATTCCAGGAAAAATGTGCATTTGATAGCATCAGTAAAATACCATCAGTATAACAACTTGCCTGTTACTTAGAACTCAGACCCTAAATAATTCAATGTATTTGTCATACTGCTTCATGTTAGGGAAACTGAGGAACATTGAAGTTACATGACAAACACATTTACAAGGAAATAGTGGCAAAAAAGCATTTTTATAACTCTGAAACCATGATTCTGGTAGACCTAAGAACTAGACTTTAAAGTAATTTGCTGAAGACTAGTAATATTCTATTTATTTAATTATTTAAATAAATCTATTAAAGATTTAGTAAATAAATCTTTTTAAGATTTATTTATTTTTATACAAGAACCAGGGTACAGGCACAGGAGGATGAGAGGATTCACTGGAGACAGAGAGGGGAACAGAACAGGCAGACTGATGAAATACATTGCTGAGGGGAGCAGCGGGTGAGAGAGAAGAGGTCTACTGTGCCATGTGGGATTCTCGATGGCTGGCCGAGATCGAACCCACGCTGCAGAGGCTTCGGACAGCTTCACAGTGCAGCGTTCAACCACCTGCGCCACTAGGGAGGCCCTCTTTATATTTATTTATAAAGAATGTTTATATCCTCTTATGGAGAAAACAATAGTTGGTACTAATTCTTGCATTTTTTTTAAAGTAATATAGGGCCTCCCTGGTGATGCAAGGGGTTAAGACGCAAGCAATGAAGCTATCTGCAGATACTACAGCATGAGTTCGATTCCAGGCCAGCCAGGGAGCAACTCACATGGCACAGCAGACCTCTCCTGACTCACCCACAGCAACCCTCAGCAGTGTATTTCAGTCTGCCTGTTCTGCTCCCCACTTTGCCTCTGGTGAATCTTCTCACCCCCCACACTTCTGGTCTGTACCCCCGTTTTTGTATGCATAAATAAATAAATCTTTTAAAAAATTAAAAAGTAATATATATTCCGTAAGCTTTAGACAAATGAATTTTTCAGCATTAATATTTTTTCTACTGGTAAGTAAGTATATTCCCATCCATCATACTTCATCAAATGAAAATAAGTGGCAGTTTTACTGCTTACCAACTGGGAAATAGTGTGTCCAATAGTTCTTCCTCTTTTTCTTAGAGATTGAAATAAAGCAATCTGAGGAGCTAGTTGCAACTTTGTAACTTCATAAAGTCAGGTAATCATGTCATAGCTGAAAGTTAAAAAATAAAGAACATTGTAAAGTTGGGACAAAAGAAAAATTATTGTGTTATTAAGGAATATAATAAGTGTAGTTTGAATCCTAGGTGGGAATTTTATATGATTATCTTTAGAGTATATTAGATAAGCATCTTCAAGTCTGTCCTTTGGAGTGTCTTCTCTCATTTCAGCATGCATTCCTAACAAGATTTTCATATCTCTTTTTAATGCTATTGAAAGAAATTGTGTAGTCTACATAGAGGAAGAAAATGATAGTGACCCCTACTCCTACAAAACTTTCCTGTGAAAATTGTCAAGTATGATGACAAAAATGGACATATCACAGTGGGTATGGAGAGTGGAACTCAGATTATAAGGTAAAAGAATACATCAGTCCAACATACGCCACTTGGGCATAAGCATTATTTTGAGCTGGAGGCAAATGAGAAGAAACAGATATTAGAAAAGTTTCATGTCCCCCCCCATTTTCCTAAAAGCAGGGTATAAATTGTTAAATTGTACTCCTTTCTACCCAGAGGGCAAAAGTTAACCATTCAGGACAATTTGAGACCTTTATCAAATGGGAGACAGTGCCAGAGGAATCCCCATAATAAACTGTACTAACAAGCTTTCATCAACCATTTGTTTCCATATATCTGCTTTTTCAAAATTTATCACCATGAAGACTCAAAATACTTTTCCATTGTCTTGTTGCTTCTCTAAAACTTGATGTATTGTTCCTTTGCTGAATGTATATGAGCCCAAGTTCTAACAAACTCTCTCACGTAAGCGTGATATAGATGCTAATAAATGTCTACAACTTTTCTCTTGCTGTCTTTTGTGATCCAGCTTCCAAAGCTCCAATCAAAGAACCTAGAGGAGTAATAGGAAAAAAAAATGTTCTTTCCCTACAGCACACACATGGACAGGTGTATAAACTTTCTCTTAAATATAAAATTGTGATGTCTTGGGCATCCCTGGTGGTACAGGCGGTTGAGCGCCGCACTATGAAGCTGTCCACAGCCTCTGCAGCGTGGGTTCTATCCCAGCCAGCCGGCGAGAATCCCACATAGCGAAGCAGACCTCTCATGTCTCACCTGCTGCTCCCCTCAGCAGTGTATTTCTTCAGTCTGCCTGTTCTGTTCCCCACTCTGTCTCTGAGGAATCCTCTCGGCCCCCTGCACATCTGGCCTGTACCCCAGTTCTTGTATAAAAATAAGTAACTCTTAAAAAAAAATAATCTCTCCAGTGTAAGTATGAAGGCAGACTCCTCTGTTGCATAGGTCTACAGCCACCTTGAAGAGGCGTCTCTACAAATGTTTTCGACTACAGTTACAATCACTCTTATCTATTGATAGATGCTCAAATAAAAATAAAAATAAAATAAAATAAATAAAATTTATGATGTCTTATACCTGCTTAAGTTCTATAACCTCCACATCCTTTCTGACATCTAATGTCTTCTAAGCCATACTATTGACTATCCTGTCCATTCATTTACCCCAAAATACTTACTAAGTCATTTACTGTGATAGTACGTTTTCCTACTGGAACTTAGAACAGTATAAATTTGATGACTAATGCAACTCTACTGACATTTGCAAACTGTGGTAAGAACTTGTATTGTTGGTGTCACCTGACCTCACCTTGGTCACATATATATATGAAGAGGCATGTCTCATCAAATTAGAATGCAAGGAGATGAAACAAATGGGAATGAAGGAGAGTGGCAGGTTGGATTTAGCTTACCTAGGAGATGACCTAAACATTGAGCATACGAGCTACATGTGATTATTAAGTTCTTGAAATGCTGCCTGTGTGAGTGAAAACTGGATTTTTAATTTCATTCAAATTTAATTAATTAAAAATGTCATGTAATGTAATACATAGTTCTAGAAATATTAAAACACTCATCTGGAACCATATATATGGCACCCCCCAAGAAAAGTCCATTGCCTTTTCCCTAAAAAAAAAAAAAAAATAATTACTTGGTTAAAATATAATTCAGGAAACTACTGATGCAAAGAAAGCAGTAAGGCATAAATTTTTATTTTACAATTTAATAGAGGTATTTCAATGGTCATCTTAAAGAGAAAGGGAAAATAAAATGGAGGAGGAAAAGTTGGAGGAGAAGGAGACAGAGGAGGGATGGAAAAAGGAAGAGGAAAGGAAAATGAAAACCTTATAAGTTTTCTCCTGAGAGTTTTACAGAATCTCGTTTCCCATTCTAGGTAAGAGGCCTTGTGATGTAGACTAATTTATCTCATTTGCATGTACAAATTTAACTCAGAAACGAAGTCAGAGAATATGAAAGAAATGAGACTCTGATAGAGACTAATTTAAAGCATCTCTCCAGTGTAAGTGTGAAGACAGACTCCTCTGTTGCACAGGTCTACGGCCACCTTGAACAGGCGTCACTACAAATGTTTTCCATTACAGTTATAATCACTCTATTGATAGATGCACAATGATTTTTAAGGGCCCTACACCTTTTCTTTCTGAGGTCTAATTCATTGTCCAAATTAAAATCTGAATAATGTTTTCACACAAACAGTAATCAAGTCTTCCTACAAATTATTTTTAAAAAATTAAACTATAAATTCTGAGATAGTCTAATGTACATTAAGTTGGATGTAGCACTCTGATCTTTTTTTACAGTTTTTAAATTTCATAGGTCCATGATCCAGGTACCATTATTAAATAAATCTGTTTAAGTGAATGACTTTAGATTATTGTGTGTTCCAAAATTCAGGGGGCAGGGTAGGGGACAGAGGGAAGGAGGCAATAATAAAACCTCATTCTACTTTTACTTTAGAAACATCTGTAATATTAATTTATTTATTTATAGAAAGCATCTATTACACTATAATTGGTCATCAATTATTTATTGAATTACTTCATCAGTAATTAATTTATTGAAGTTTGTGGTACATACAGGGTATGCAGGGATGATGAAACTCAGGGTGTATGTATGATAGGAAAAATAAAATGTCCATGTGAAGAGTGAAAAAAACCCCAGTGTAGTGGGTTGTCATTCTTATAATAGACCATCAAGTCCAGATACCACTTGCAGGGGGTATCCCTGAGGAAGTGAACCCTGAACTGAGCTCAGAAAGCATATGGGGTTTCCCAACTGGCACAAGGCGTTAAGAACAGCACTGTGAAGCTATCCTTGGCCTCTGTAGCATGAGTTTGATCCCCAGCCCTCCAGGGAGCTACCCACATGGTGCAGCAGACCTCTCCTGTCTCGCCCGCTGCTTTCCTCAGCAGTGTATTTCAGTCAGTCTGCCTGTTCTGTTCCCCACTCTGTCTCTGGTAAATCCTCTCACACACACACACCCCCACACACCTCTGGCCTGTACCCCAGATCTTGCATTCATAAATAAATCTTTTTTAAAAAAGCATTTGCAAGTGTGATGGGAAAAGAGAAAGGGGCGTGTGTCTATGCAAAATAAACAACTTACACAAAAGCAGAGAGGAAAGGGATATTTACATCTTGCCAAGCAGCTTGTTATGGGTGAAGTACAGAATGAAAAAAAGAGAAGAAAGAGGTGAAACTGAAGGAGACTAGATCATTAAAAAAAAACCTTTATGTTCTTACATAAGGGACTATGTTTATAGTGCACAGGTGAATTGGTAGTGGGAATTTTACGGGGGCTACACCTGAGAGGAGAAAGCATGCACTGTACAAAAAGAAAGGATGATGTAAAATATACATAAAATAAAATTAAAAAAAAATCTTTGTGCATTTTTCAAGGAAACTCTTTGTCATCTGCGTTCCATGGAATTTTATCACTATCAGCCGTGAACCATGAGATATTAGACTCACATTTGGCAAATGATCAGAAACTAGTAAACATCTCCAATAAACTTGATATGTGAGCTTGATTGACATATGAACACTATGAAGATGTGTAGTAAATCTACAAAGTTTAGCTGTCAGTTTTGCAAACAAAGGTCATGCAAATGGAAACAATAGAATACACCTAGACAGTCCTTTGAAATATAAAGAAAGTTCTGCTTAGAGTTGCATAGGTTGAAGCCCATGGTTTTGCATAAAAGGAGTGACAGGTTTATTGATGAGGTGCCTTTAGGTGGACCTTGATGGGGAGATGCTATCTATTTATCTATTTTTTTTTCTCAAATAGACAGAACGAGGCATTCCAAGGAAGCATCACACACAAAGACATATTTGTCATAAAAGAGATTGACATTTAGGGATGCTATCTTCTAGGAAATGAACAGCCTACACAAAAGTTTGTGAAAAGCAATGTCATATATTGATTCATGCTTTGCAAAGGCAGCTCCTGTGGAAGTATGGAAATTGTGGTAAAGAGAAAATTGTTAATAGACTGATAAATTTTTGAGAGTAAAAGGGGCATATAAAGAGGGAGTAATTCCTCACTCAGTAAACTTTTTCTTGGTCTCATAAAAATAGCTTGGGCTGATATTTAATAACATAGATGTCTAGACCTAACTCAGAAAATCTATTAAATTTAATACCATAGGTAATTCTTATTAGACTAAAGTAGAAGCAGATTTAATGATGGAAAAGGCCAATGGATGGTATTTCTAAATTTGCTGTATTTAGTTCCCCAATATTTTAATCACTTAAGATATATTAAGCATATTCCTATATACTGGAGATAAAAATTTGGTAGGTCATGACCCTCATCCCCCATGATTTTATGATGTCAATATAATTTGTCTCTCAATATCATCTACAGGTCACCTACATCAGAATAACCCGAGGAGCTAATAAAATACATGTCCCTGAACCCCAACCCACAATGAATGAATAAAGATCTTAGTAGAAGAAGAAAAAGTTGGAATCTACCAGTGTCGTGGGAAGGTTAAATGAATGTGAACTTGGAGAATAATTGGTTTAATGTGATGACAGACAGGACTGGGGAATGGATAAAGGCAATGTGTCAAGGTTGTTACCAGCGGTACTAGGAGAAAATGGGTGAATATGATTCTACTAGCTGAAACTGACATTATAGGAGACAGTTT